ATTTGAACTTTACTGTACTAGTACTCACAAAACATAAATTAGTTTTGGGTTTTTAATTATTATTAAACTGTGAATATTCACTCAAATAAATACAAAATATAATAAAATAAACATTAAGGTGCAGCATTTCGATGAACTGAAATAATATAGTCCTAAGCAGCCAGTTTGACATTAGGACTTGCTTGTCGTTGTATTTTCATGTTTTTTTAAAGAAAGATGAACTTTTCCACATTGCTTGCTGAAAGGGCAGACCTGCTGGCACTAACAATGTCTCCTGCTGTGGAGAACACCCTCTCTAGGGACAGAGGTAGCAGATACAGCCAGGTAGCGCTTTGCTAACATGGCAACATAAGGATATTTGGCGTTTGTAATAGCTTTGGCTCGGTCTGAACTTTTTGCGAGTGGTGGAGTCTTAAATGCTAGTGGGAGTTGGGTTTGCACTTCAGTCTTTTTTCTTTTTGGTACCGGTGATATTCAGGTTCGGGTGATGCCTTTTCAAATGAGTGTGCAAGTTTGATGTATTTCCAGCCGCGTAACCAATTGTAGTTGAACAATGCCGACAAACAGCTTTGTCCACCTGTCTTTGTCCGTCATCCTTGTACGTAACTGCGAAACCAAAATGTTCCCAAACCGGAGACTTCAATGATGCTGGAGGATTTTCGAGCTCAACTTTATCTGCGTTCGCCATTTCAACAGTTCCTCAAATTACTGACTAAATTTGAACGCATCCCTGTGACCAGCTCTCATAGCATGCCTCTCGTCCAATGAAATGACTTGCTCGCTCTATGACGCGTTGAACCCAATGTGAGCAAATTACTCTGAACTGAGATTACTTCCAAAAAGTTGTTCACGTTCTCAATTTTTTACGTTTAATGTTATATTCGTTCGGTACAAACGTGTACCGAACCGAAGGGTGCGTATACCGTTACACCCCTAATATATATATATATACACACACACGTACATTTGGCTGATTTTGTACTTTGACTTGAGAGACTTTAAATGTAGGAGTGTAACTTAGAGAGGATCACTTTGATATCGATATAAAATGGTACTTTTGCTGAAGTAAAGGTTTCGAACGCTTCTTCCACCTCTGGCCAAAGCCAAAAGCCAACACACCCCAGACAGCAAATGAACTGGTAGTCATACTTTGAATATCTCCCGTCTCTCACCTGGTGGTTTGATTGGTGCGCTCATGTTTCTGGGCTCCTCTGGTTCTGTTCTCTCCGCCCTCTCCTCTCTGAGGTATTTTGGGGGGCCCCTCTCGTGCATGGCTCCCATCTCATGTATGGCTCCTCCCCTCTCATGTATGGCTCCTCCCCTCTCGTGCATGGATCCTCGCCCGTGCATCCCTCCTCCTCTCTCCTGCATCCTTTCTCCTCTCTCCTGCATCCTTTCTCCTCTCTCCTGCATACCTCCTCCTCTCCCTCCTCCTCTCTCTTGCATGCCTCCTCCTCTCCCTCCTCCTCTCTCGTGAATGCCTCCTCCTCTCTCGTGCATCCCTCCTCCTCCTCCTCCTCTCTCGTGCATCCCTCCTCCTCCTCCTCCTCCTCTCTCGTGCATCCCTCCTCTCTCGTACATGCCTCCTCCTCGCTCGTGCATGCCTCCTCCTCGCTCGTGCATGCCTCCTCCTCTCTCGTGCATCCCTCCTCTCTCGTACATGCCTCCTCCTCTCTCGTGCATCCCTCCTCCTCTCTCGTGCATGCCTCCTCCTCTCTCGTGCATGGATCCTCTGTCCTGCGTGGATACCCTCTCCTCCTGCCTACGCGTCGCCATGGATGCCTTCATAGCAGCCGCCACATCCCTGTCCTCGTCCTCTCTGCACGGAACAAGCACACGTTCATATATATAGAACAAACCCAATATGAGACCAAAAAGGACCAAAAACGGATTGGAATGTGACTGGTAAAGGTACAACCATGCTTATGGTTTGCACGGTAGGGTATCAGATGCAATAGTGAGGTCTTTAGGGGACAGCAAAGTGCTACGTTTTCATAAAATAAAATGCAAAGTTTCTGCACAGTCATAAACAACAAAGGCAGCATTGTTGATTGACACTCACCGAGAGTACCTCCAGCTCTTCTGTCCCCCCTGAACCCTTCCTCTTCCCCCGCGAGCCTGACGCATCTCATCATAGTCCTCACCTGTCAGCATGCCTAAGGACACACACACACACACACACACTTTTTTGAGAATGCATTTTTGGCCAGAAATAAGGTCTCTGGAGTTAAAGAGATTTTCACGTTTTGTTCTACGACATCAAATACAGATTAAAATTCTAAATTCTGGGTCAGCCTACGAAAATATGTCACCATTGCAACGCTATACATTCTCCTAATATAGATATCAGTCTCAAAAAACACGCTGACCGACCTTCATTTCGCCTGCCCTGTTGCCTTGGGGCGTAGTTGAACTGCAGGTCGATCTGTCGGTTCTGTCGAGCCTCCGCACGGTTCTTGCTGTGCTCCGCGGCCTTGTGGGCCTTGTAGTCGATCTCGGAGCGGAATGCATGGGTGAACTGTTCTGTGGCGCAGCGGCCCTCCTCACACAGGTAGTGACTATCTCTGAAGTGCTCGCTCAGGTACGGGTAATCACTGTTGAGGGCAGGGTTAGGAAAAAGGGGTGGAAGAAGTAATGAGATTTTATACGCAAGTAAAAGTTGCCATACTATAATTTAATTAAGTGAAGTAGAAGTCTAAAGTAGCTTGAAATCAAAACTTTTAAAAAAATTCCAAAAATTGTAAATTCAAGTACAAAACATGGGTAAATGTACTTATTACATTCCACCACAGGATCAAAACTGGCTTGACCTACAGAGCCACCACAATCCTTCCTGTGTGTGTGGCCTAGCATTACTATCCTTGTGGGGACCTACATCTGTTTACACAGTCACGTGCGGGGACTCGCCTCCCTTATGGGGACATAATTGATGTCCCCCATTAATTTTAGTGTGTGTGTCTCTCNAATAATCATAGACGCATTTTGCAGTCTTTTTGCGTATTAGAAACGGAGTTGGCGATACTGAAACTGCAATATAATGTTTGTGTAGCAATAATACATAAATTTTATGTATTATTGCTACACAAACATTATATTGCAGTTTCAGTATCGCCAACTCCGTTTCTAATACGCAAAAAGACTGCAAAATGCGTCTATGATTATTTTTAGTATTTTTGATCTTTCCAATCCAGTCGAGAGATCTCTCTCTCCAATGTTAGTTTTGTTCACAATTTGTTTAGTTCGTTTACCTTGTTTTTTTCTCCAAAAGAACCGTTAAAAGACCGGACCGATAAGCGGTATCGATAAAAGTAGTAGTACCGTTAAAACCTTAACGATACCCATCCCTACCGGTACCAAAAGAAAAAAGACTGAAGTGCAAACCCAACTCCCACTAGCATTTAAGACTCCACCACTCGCAAAAAGTTCAGACCGAGCCAAAGCTATTACAAACGCCAAATATCCTTATGTTGCCATGTTAGCAAAGCGCTACCTGGCTGTATCGGCTACCTCTGTCCCTAGAAAGGGTGTTCTCCACAGCAGGAGACATTGTTAGTGCCAGCAATGTGGACAAGTTCATCTTTCTTTAAAAAAACATGAAAATACAATGACAAGCAAGTGTCATAAATATTTTATGTTTTTATGATAATTTTTTCTGTTGTACCGAATACGTACCGAACCGAACCGAACCGTGACCTAAAAACCGAGGTACGTACCGAACCGAAATGTTTGTGAAGCGTTACACCCCTAATGTAATGTGATGACGCTTTCAAAATATTGCAGAAAATAAGATCTTTAACAAAAACATTTGTGATACCGACATATTTTGTTCAGCAGGATAATCTCCACATATTAACACCACTTTATGATTGAATGATGAAGCGTAAATGCAATGGTCAGAAGTAAATAGCTACCGTTGGACTTTAAACAAACTACATGACGACCGAGTGACTTCATGTCAACACCGCTTAGCTAAAGGCTGCTAATGAGGTGTGATGACCTTTAGTAGTCTTATTTAGTCTTGTTAGCAACTACCATTTTAAAAGACAATTAAAAGCTTCAGAAGTTCACGAGTGAAAAGTGAAAACCTCTCATGCTTGTGTAAACCTCAGACCTTATTTCCGGCATCAAACCTAAGACATTGACTTCAAGACGAGGGAGGAAGTGCCAAAATGTTAACTCATTTCCGGGTTTAGGACTCATTTGGCACCACTCTATTAGCTAACACAACAAGTGTAGAAAGAGCAGCATCTTTCTAAAATAACTGTGGATATTTTGGGGTTATGGGTTTTTTATAAGACCTTTAGCTGTTTGAGCAGCAAGGCCCCCATGACTCTGTTACCCATAAGTACTTCCCACAAGATGAATTCAGCCACTGTTGGCTGTGCACCTATTTTTGCAGCCGAGTACATTTACTCTAAATAGGCTTCCAATTTAGGAGCCAAGTCAGCGCAGCATTGGAGCAGTTCATGCTAAAAAACACTTCTAGCAACTTTGAAGCCAAAGCATTAGGTCCCTTTAGAGACACACATCGGAAATATCAGACATTTTATTTAAAGTTTTTATAAACACAGAATCTCTCTGTCATCCACTTCCTGCCTTTTTGATGCTCTCCAGAGCTCATCTTGACAGATTTGCCACTTGGATTGATCTTGCGTAGTGTGATGACAGAGTCTGAATCTCTTCCGTTTTCTCCCTGCCTAAGCATTAAACCATCACTTCCAGGGGGACCAGGGTTGCCCTTTATGGCTGCTGGCAGGATGGAGAGCAGAGCAATTCCTTTCAGCCACTGGCAGCAGATTCCATAATTAAGATGATTAAAAAGAAGGGAAGAGGGAGGAGTGAAGAAGAGAGGTGAAAAGTGCAAGTGCAACTCCTCAGTCGTGGTCCGGTGCTCCAGCTGCATTGTTTACACTCTAAAGGGAAGGAGCAGCAAGGACACGCCGTCCTCTGAGTTATATTCCTGGCCAAATTAGCATGATGGGCTGGCTTGGCTCTGTTGCAGGTGCTGGCGGGAATACAGCCAGCACTGCATATTACTCTACTCTTTGGTCCTGTGTCCAGATAGTGTCTTTTTCTGGCAAAAAGGTGCAAGCAAAAAAAAAAAGAAACGCTCCCAGTGCTTTTTATAAAATGATATCTTGACAACATACCACTGCTTTCGAGTTAAAGACACACCCCTAATCTACGTGCGCTACTTTGCATTGTTTTTTAACCTTGAGCAGCAAAAAGCTTCACCACTCGGTACACTATAAGACCCCATTTACACGCAAACGAACCGCATACGATATCAAAAAAGTCTTCCGTTCACACGAGACCGCTCGGGAGCGCTGGAGACGCTGTAGTACATATGCAGGGCCTGTAAGTGGCATAGTAACTTCCGCCACAAAATACACCAAAAGCAGCGAAGAAGACCCTCGAGCATGGTTGCCCTTCTGTTTATGCCCCGCGGTGGATTTAGCAACATGTAGTTCATGTAATTCTCCATTTCCAATTGTTGCTGATGGTTGTGGTAGAGGAGCTGTAGATTTTGCACTAACATCTGTAGCATGGTCGAGCTGTAGATTTTGCACTAATATCTGAAGCATGGTCAGTAGCAGTAGCACTAGCTACTGACCATGCTACAGCAGTGAGCAGCAGAGGTGGGGAGAGGCGGGGCTATGGCTTCATCGTTATCAGAAAATGATCGTATAGGGCGTACACACAGAGCCGTTTGGCCCCCCAGAGCGTTCCGTTTGCAGATCTATCCCCCTTGGGACCCGTTATCGTTTGCGGGGTCCGTTTCCGTGTTTCCGTTACGGCCTCGTGTGAACGAACGGAGAAGAGTAGCGGATACAACCGTTTGCGTTATCGTGTAAACAGCACATAAAAGTACAACACTGACTGGCAGCAGAATTCAGTCTCTGCTGCCACAATACCCTCCCCACAAATAAGATTTTCGGTCTTCGTCAACATAGTTTCTGTTTGAAAGTTAAGCCCAAAAGCAAGTTTCTCCTTCAATTTCTAAAGTAGAGTCACCAGCGCTTTATTGGAAAGTTGGATTTTTCAAATAGAAACGCATCGAAAAGAGGCTTGGAGCAGCATTTTTTCTCAGGAAATATTGAAAAGAGATATGGTGCTAACTAAGAGAGACATGCTGTATGGACAAAGGCCCTTTGTGGGCTGCTGCTATCTTTTGTATCTCCCGTGCCATAAGACAGCAAAGATCATCAAAACCCCCGGGTTAATAGAAAGGGTGATATGTGGCTCAAATCAACCCCAGTCTGATTGGGCAGAACACAGAGGTCACACCCTGGGAGGCAAACACCAGTAACGCCCGTCAAGTATCTAGAAATGAGAAGATAACTACTGTGGGCTCTACCTGTCCACAGCTCTGCCTCAGTCACTCATATTAAAAGCTGTCATCAAACTGTGAAATTGCTATTATTTTAAACAGCTAATTAAAGCTGCTGCAAATAAAACAGCTTTTGAAGCCAAGCCACTGAAATAAAACACATGGAGTAATAAACTGTGTTTACAACAAAGAAGCATAGGCAGCATTATACATCTATATAACTAAGAACAAAAAAAGGGAAGGAACACTGCAACAAAAGTGACAAAACTATACTCCTCCTGCTAACTTTGAAGACCACTAATGTCCAAGGTATTCTGCAGCTAGAGAGACTAGACATTTTCAGGTAGCACAAGTAAGATTTAAATTAGGGATTTTTCTAGTCATATTTGCAAACAATTAAAGCACAGTAAAGGACATTTAATTTAAAAAGCTCTACCAAAAGTGTGATAATATGGTAACACCAAGTAATCAGATGTCCTCAGACCAAGTACTATGCAAATTAAGCTGACATCTTGCAAATCAGCATGCCACTTTTGCATGTGGTGATGAGGTCTGAGGCACATCCTGTTCCATATTATGTAGGATTATCACTATCACAGACTTCTAACGATGTAATGTTTTAGTCAAAAGGAAACACTCGAGGACAGCCGCAATTTCACAGATTTTTCTGCACTCCACTCTTCTCCTCCAGCCTTTAATGAGCTGCTCCTTCAGCTCTCCTTCCGTGACCTTATTCTCTCTCCCAGACACATCCACCCTCTCTCTGCTCCCTTGCGTCAAACACTTTTGAAGGGGACTAGGGAAAAACACTCTCCAGGTGGATGAGACTTCAGGAAACTGAACAGGCTCTGTCCTTATAACTCAATGTTGCTCAACTTCCTGTCCTGATCCGTGTTTTATGTCAAAACATGTTCTAAAAACATTTATTCTCAGACCTCATTCCTGCACCACTCTATAATGTCACTTTTGGATTAATGGTAAGACACATTGATACATTTTTTTTAATGAATTACCGTGTGGGAACATTTTGGGGGAAGTCAAATGATATCAAAACATATGTAATTTTTGTTAACAGAGACTCAAAAGTTGAGTGGTTTTATTATCATTGTTTCATTTATCTTTAAATCTTTTTTAATTTTATTTCCAACCATTCACTGTAGTCATAAGTTAACACATCAACCACAGCAACAGGGTCGCCCCTTCTCCAAATACAAATTTGCTCGTTTCACAATATCCAATGCTTTCTAGTGGTATAACACGATTATTCATAAATACATCTCATCTCCAAAGCTCATCTGCACTCTAACTTTATGCCTTATTACACATTTGTATTTGCACAAGATATATGATTTTCTGAGGAAGCAAACGTTAAGAGACACACCTCTCAACTGAGACAGCCAGTTAGATGTGGCTAAACCAAAGGTAACACAAGCCTCTGGTTGCCTATATAACGCCCTATATAAGTGAGCGGTGGTGGTGGCAGTCTGCTGCATCGTTCCCTCAGGCTGCCATCACTCAGACATTCAGCCACAGTAAAGAGGAAGCTCCCT